GATATTCAAGCAGTGTTCTCAGAATTCTTTGGAAGAGATGTGATAAACCCAAGGCTTGAATTCTACTTTTATTGCTTTAATTCCGAAGAAGGTTGGGGCTTGTCACCCTAAAGAGTTCAGACCCATCAGTCTGGTTAACAGCCTCTACAAGATCATTGCTAAGGTGTTATCTAGAAGAATTAGAGTGGTGCTCCCCTCAATTATCTCCCATAATCAAGGTGCCTTTATGATGAGTAGGCCAATTGTGGACCAAATCTTAATTGCAAATGAGAGTGTGGAAGATTACAGAAGTAGAGGGGAGAAAGGGTTGGTGTGTAAGCTGAATTTGGAGAAGGCATATGATCTGGTTGATTGGTCTCTGTTGATGGAAGTTTTAGAGTCTCTTGGGTTTGGGCAAAGGTGGTGCAAGTGGATAAAAGGGTGCATTAGAACTTGCCATTATTCTGTGTTAGTAAACGACAGAGTGGTGGATCACTTTCCAGCTGTCTGGGGTACTAGGCAAGGGGACCCTCTCTCCCCGTTCCTCTTTACCCTAATTGCTAAAGTGTTAGGGAGGCTTATTGAGAGGGCAGACTCCAGAAATCTGATTAGTGGTTGGAGAGTGGGGAGGGATAGGGTTCCAGTCACTCACCTACAATTTGTAGATGACACAATTCTGTTTTGTGATGGCAAGGAGATTAGTGGGGTGAGCAATCTAAAGATGGTGATTAAAGTGTYTGAACTAATGACTAACCTCAAAGTAAACCTTGATAAGAGTTGTGTGATTGGTATTAATATGARTGAAGGARAGGTGGAGGAAAGGGCCCGAGCGATAGGTTGTGAGATAGCTCATTGGCCACTGAAGTATTTAGGGCTTCCTTTAGGGGATAATCCTAGAAAAATGAGTTTTTGGAATCCGATGATTGATAGGTTCACTAAAAGGCTAGCTTCTTGTTAGAAGAATTACTTGTCTTTGGGGGGTAGGATAACCCTGATTAAGTCAACATTGGCAAACCTTCCAGTCTATTACTTGTTGGTGTTTAGAATCCCTGAAGGAGTTTGTAGGGAGTTGGAAAAAACTAATGAGAGACTTTTTATGGGAACCCGGGGAGGAGAAAAGGGACCATAGAGTTAGGTGGGAGCTAGTTACAAGAGCTAAAAGTGAAGGGGGACTGGGGCTGGGGAACTTGAAGAAGAAGAATGAAGCTCTGTTAGGGAAATRGTTATGGAGATGGTCCAAAGAAAAGGAGAATCTGTGGGCTAAAATAATCCTAAGTATTCATGGGCAAGAGGCAGCTGGCTGGGATCCGGGGCTATCACCTAGGGCTTTAAGAGCCTCTCCTTGGGAGTCCATTCGTGCCATCCTTCAGTCTTTTCTTCCCCTCATCAAGTATGATCTTGGTTCTGGTTTGTCGGTAAATTTTTGGGAACACACTTGGGTGGGGGATTTTCCTTAGAAATAGCAGTTCCCCTCCTTTTATGCTCTGTCTAGGTTTAAAAATGAACCAGTAGCAACCTTTACTACCCTATCTAACTCTGCTATTGGTTGGAACTTGGGTCTTAGAAGGGCTCTTGGAGATTCTGAGTTGGAACCCATTTCGAATTTGCTTAAAATCTTGGATGAGGTAGCTCTTGAACCTTCCCGTGTGGACTTTAGGGTTTGGTCTCTTGTCCCTTTGGGTATCTTCTCTTGCTCCTCTTTTTTCAAAGCATTGACACAACCTAGTCCGGTACCTGGGTCTTCTTTTCCAGTCCGGGAAGTTTGGGGTAGCCCTATCCCTCCTAGGGTAGGTGCTTTTTGCTGGGAAGCAATCCTAAAAAAGTGTAACACTTGTGACATACTTCAAAAGAAAAGGCCTAATTGATGTTTATCTCCACATTGGTGCATCTTATGTAAGAAGAATGGTGAAAGCTGTTATCACTTGCTTGTTTCTTGCCCTTTTATTTCAGAGATTTGGTGTTGGTTCTTTTCTTTATTTGGTTGCAGGTAGCCCTCCCCTTCAAGCGTGCAAAGCTTGTTCAATTCCACTCCAGTGAGGGGTTTAAAGAAGAGAGGTAAAATTTTGTGGAGATGTGCTAAAGCTGCTATTTGTTGGATGGTTTGGGGAGAAAGAAATCAAAGATTATTTCATGACAAAGAAAAAAGCAAGGAAGCCCTCATAGAAATTGTTTATGTTAGGGTGGCACACTAGGTCAAGTCTTTGAAGCTTTTTGAAGCCTATTCAGTAGGAGACATCATTAGAAACTGGGAAGACGTGGCTCGGCCAGTTCCTATGTCTAGTGCTATTAGACCTGTTTGGACTCCACCAGATTTGGGTTTCATCAAATTGAATTTCGATAGTAGCAGTGAAAGTAATCCAGGCCCTTCAGGCATAGGTGATATTTTCAGGGATGAAGAGGGTCAAATTATTGCTATGTTCTCAGGATCTATAGGCTGGGGGGATTCTCTGAGAGCTGAAATCTTGGCAGTTCTAGGAGTAAAAAGAGCTAAGCAGTTGAATATTAGTAAGCTGCTGGTGGAAGGAGACTCTCAAGTGACTGTTAGTTGGTTGCAGAAGGAAGAGTCTAGCCTGTGGAAGTTCTCAAATGAAAGAAAGAAAATCAAGCAGCTAACTCAGAATATGATTGTAAGGGTTCAATG